TGAAGCACACGTTCTCCCAAGACTACCTTCGCTTTGCACCCATATAGCGCTGTTGAGCGTGCTTCGTTTCCTTGTCTAGAGTCAGACGGTATCTGTCCGTCTCCCTTTTTCTTGACTACGTGTATCCATTTTTAAGGTTTGTACCTCGTTTATTCGTCACTATTTGTTTAATAGTACCGCCTTACATTGATGGTTGTCACCATTGGGATTCGATTTACGCGTCACTTCTGAATACAGAGGCAAGGAACACGAAACGCTGATGTTACAGTCGGCTGTCGTCGATCAATCGTATTAATTACAGTTATGATGTCGTAGTGGCCGAGGACCTCCGCGCTCAAACACAAGGTGCTGTGTTACTGCTGGATGCAAATATCTTGGAGGCGGGTTTGAACGTAAATTATTTAAAAGCAGGGATGATCACCGGTAGTTTTGCCATCAGTGATATCCGCCAGATGACACTCTTGTGCTAGTTTTCAGCTACTTTTAAGCCTTTCTCACAAGCGGATGAAATCTGTCATCAAAGAAATTAGGTCAACGGCCTTGATTCAATCCCACTAGAAATTCCAGAATTAGAGCGAGATCCGTCCGTTAAGCACACTGAGACGCAGCTTTGAATTCCTATAACGTAAATTTCGCAATGGCGTGATAATAAAGATGGATAGAGCTTTCCAGCATGGGTGGAATTTTCCAGCTCCACCGTGACACCATCGAGACCGGCTAGATCAGGCATAATCGCAGTGCAAATAGTAAGTAGAATCCCGTCATAGCTACATATAACTGATGGCCGTATGCTTTGCTCGCTTTCCGGCCTTGTTCTAATCTGTCCATCGTGAATCTCTATGGCGGATAATACCCAAAAATCATGGCCTACTACCTCTTCATCACTGCGCGAGTTCTAGTTCATAACAAGAGTTCGCCATTCGGTCTGCCGTTCGACAAGCCTGTATGCTGCCAACCATTCTGGATTCGCACGATGGCCCTACATGAACTCGACGCTAGTGAACTCGCACCCAGACGAAGACTGACTGATCTCGATTATGCCGAAGATGTCGTTCTATTATCTTCAAGTTTTGGTTATGTATAGCATTTTCAAACCGCATCCCTGCCCAGGAGAAGGCACCTCTCGAGGTTGATGATTGCTGACG